CACCTGTCCGTCCATGACCTGTCCATCCGAAAAGGACGATTTGGAGTCGTGCTGGATGTATGCAGTGGATCCGTCCGCCAGAGTGACAGCCTGCAGGCTCACGGTGTCCATGCTCTCCATCTGATCGCCATCTGGGAAAATCATGTGAAAAGGACAATACTTGAGAACAAGGAGATAGTGAAAGTTGCGAGGTCATCTTGTTTTGGTTGAACGTGGAACTGAGGTTGTATCCCTTAAAATGGAGCCGGCACGCTCATGTTGACAGACTCGATCCACTCATGGCTTATTACAAATGCACAAAGAGATGGCAAAGAAACGTTATTGACATCCTTGGACACATTAAGCAAACAAAGCAGATGTAGAAATAACTTAAGATAAGAATGAACGGATTGTATGACCTATTTAGCTTTAAATACTATACTTGACCATGACCATTAACGTCCTTTCAATTTCTTGGTTACTGCTATTATAAAGTCTGAAAGAAGACATTTGATGAATATTGATTCATTCATGAACCAAACACATTGCACAACTGTTAACTCTTTGTACTACTGTATGTACTACTGTACTATCACATTGAAATACAATTTACTGCAACATGCTTCTATATTTGAGGTAATTTGCAACAGTACCAACTTGAAAAGCCACCAAACGGTTAGTAATTATGACTGATTCTATAATCCATGACATATCTCTTTCCTTTACATCAAGTGTATGTATACAGAATGATCCATTTAAAACCACATCTTCATAATGGAGAGGGAGGATTTGATGGAAACAGCTGTGATGTAGTGCATTGTTACATAAAAAGCTCAAGTCATACATGAAAAGCAGAGAAAAGTCTAAACTTCTGGCAGGCCACACTCGTATAGGTGTTTGGTGATCTTCTGCCCGGCCGGGTTTCATTCACATGAACTCGTTGAGGAAGCTGTTGACTGTCCCTTCAGGTGTCTCCTCCAAAGGCTGCGCCACACAATAGGAGGGCACCAAGAGAAGATCAGGATCCTTGATCTGGATTTCAACCTCTGTGATGCTGTGAAAGTGATACAAACACGACAATGGGATCTTCGAGCACGTCGGTTTTTAGCCTCGTGCAATTAATAGATGCGAGTGAATCTCATAAATACATCTGGAGGGTTATTTCCCCCAAGGATTAAAAAAAAAAAAATTTACCAACCTGACCATGAATGAATAGGTGTCATGGAAGTACATTGTGCACACAGGCAGACATCCCATGGTTACAGACATGGAGTAGCAGCCTGAAAAACAGAACACAATTAAATCCCAAATAACTCACATTAAATGGCCCACATTATTATTGTCATTATTTTACATGGTATTTTGTAGCACTTCTTTCACCTTTCATGTCTGGCATTGATCCTGCCCATTCATTGGTTTTTAACCCCTCCCCTTTAATTGATGGACTCCCTGTGTTTTTTACACCCTTAAAAGTTGCATCATCAGGGATGTCCAGAGGGTGCTGGGTGCATTGCAAGGATTTTTTCTCACAGCTCTGGTTTCTGCTGTCGATCTCATAGAATATCCCCTGCAGGATGCAGACACAGATTCTGATGTCATGTCGCAAAACAGCAAGTGATCTGTTGTTTTTGCATTTTTATTTGGAGAGAGAAATCACCCACGTCGTTAAATAACATCAGCAGATCCAAACCCATGGATGTGTTGGCAGGGTGGCTCTCGTTGGATCTGAACCGTAGCTTCTTGCCCATCGAATCATATGTAAATGCACCGAAAGCTTTTGTGTCGCCTTTCAAGGACATCTGCAGTTTAAAACAACAGCCAATCAGAACCATTGCGTTTTAATGCTAGATTGTAAAACGTTACAAAAATAAAAACGACACATTTGACAAACTCACCACACTCATGAAACCTGTCATGTTCGGTGCATCTGAAATAAAACAGTTGGATGACAACAAAACAACGAAATATCAACCATTGGAAACAGTTCAAACTAATATTACTTTACCTAACTACATAACATGAAGCAATGCAAAGAGCAAAAACAGGAGGAGCAACCAACATAAAGGAAGTCAGCATTCTTACGGCAGGGATGATGGGGATCTGCGTTGGTGGTGGCAGTCAGGCACATGAAGACGGAAAGCGCTACGGCTGCATACATTCTCCTGGTAGAGAGGGAGCAACAAATTAAAAGTCGAGACGGCAAAAGCAAGCCTAAGTTCATCTACCTTTCAGTGAAGTTACTGCTGCTTTTATAGGGGTGAAATCTGATGAAGTCAATGAGGATTACGTAAAAGGACCCAGGACTTCAAACGTCAAGCTGTCTAAACAAATTAGACCCAGTTGGTGGTGACCCAATATGACAACTTTCTCTTCTTCTGTGATTGTGCAGCTGTCCTCAGATGTTTTCGTGCGTTGTTTACTTCTGCCCCTTTTCGGTCAAGCGGGGACAATCATGGAGGTTTATAGGGGTTTATATAGGTTTATAGCCTTGTTACGTCTCTCTGACGGTAAAACATCCATGTTAAGTCAATTACCAATAAACACAAACACTTCTGAGTGAAGGGGATCTTTACATTTAATTACCTGTAATTTTATTTATTTTATCATTTTAATTATATTTATATTTTGCCAGAAGTAGTCATATCTTTCCAGGAGTGGAATTAAATCCCATCAAGCTTGATTTGATTTGTTCTCCCAGCTGAAACCTTTCTGCAAGAACTGGAATGTTATAGAGTGTAAACAGCTACGGATATTTAAACACAACCATTCATTTAATGATCTTAATGGCTGGTTAAAGCCTGGGTGAAAAATACAGGAATTGGGCCAAATTCATGCATTTTATGTATTACTCAAAATACTACTACTTCTACTACTTAGAAAGATCTGCTCACTGTTTTAACAATCGGCTAAATTCTCAGCCAGCAATGACTCTTAAAACACCCTCACTGACCCTTTCTTTTTTTTTATTAAAGTGATCCAAACTAAATAGAAAGCCTGGGAAGTTCATACCAGGTCAAATCCACGAGCCAGATCAAAAATGTGTTGTTACCGCGGCTACACTTTGTGCAGCTGTCTTTTGTTCTTTTGCACAATTCCCCGTTGTGTCCGTGCTTTAAAACAAAACACTTGCACTCTGTCACACGGGTGACAAACCGCAGTAACTTATTTCTTTAGAGTATTAATCATAATTAGGTTTTCTCAAAGCTTTGAATGTTGCTGAATCATTTTTTTTAATCACTGCAGAAGAATGCACAAATACAATATAATGAAACTTAATTTACCATGAGACGAATAAGGGAGCTGGATGTCAGTGTAGCATTGAAAAAAGGAAATAAACACGTAACAAAACCGAAAGTGAGGTTTGAAACCACAAATAAATTACGCTCAAAAAAGGCTCAGAGTAACTTGTGCGAGTCATAAGGGAAATTTGACATTACTGTATGAGGGGAATATGGGAGGTGGTTGCTAAAATGAGGGAAGCCCTTCTACTCGTGTACCATTTCCTCTTTAGTGAGCGTATCATGACAGCTCTGAGAGGAAGTCCGTTTGTTTGTGAACCGTGACTAACCCACTGACCCACAGTTCTCATAGTTTCTAAATAATCACATTGCCTCATGAACAACTGTACTGAACTGTTTATTTATGACAAATAAAGAGCATGTATAATATTGCCATAACCCTGTGTACATTGCTTAGTGGGTAATATAGTTATATTATAGGAGAGACCAGCTCAATTACTAATTCACATGAGCATATTCATCAAAATCATGAAAGGTATTTTTTAAAGTCCATACAAGGAATTTTTGGATTAATGAAGAGTTCTGTAAAACTCACTGAGCAATGTAAACTGGAGAAGGCCTGGTTTGCAATAGCATGCAAGATGGTACCGTAAATTGTGTGCACAAAAACGGACATTGCAGAGGTGAACCAAGTCAAACGTCAATACTATGATTGAGCTGCTTTACTTCTTTTACTTCTCGTTGATGCCTTTTGCACTGTGTGACTGACGTACGTGAAGTCATTTGTAACAGTGAATAACATGCAGGAAACCCCATACACACAATGTCTTGTGATGTCTGATAATTTATTTAGCTGGATGGCAAAGCTCCTGGGAGGTTGTAGGTTATATATAAACTATAAATAAATAACAGACCGAACTACGTCACAGTGTGAACTTGAACCCATGCTGAACACTTGCCAGAGGTTGACGGTACTAGAAAGCGTCAAGACTTTCCTGCAGGCAGGCCAGTGGCGGCCAACAACGAGGTAGGCTGAAACCAGCAGTTGTTTTGGGTTTCTATGGGAGTGGAACTTTCATGGATTTTATTTAAATCTTCTGAGATTGCATCGTTTTGGGTATAGCAATTTTCCCACCAACAAATTCTGGTTACACTGTAGATTTTCTTATCACTACGTATATTTTGTCATACCTTTTTTATCACATTTAAGCTCTCATAATGAACATGTTGTTAGTTAAGTTCCATTTAGGCCTCTACTCATTTAGGCATTTAACAGCTGGAATGCACACCACATAACTGAAAAATGAATGACGCAAAAGACCAGGATTTAAAAGATATAATTATTTGATGCAGCAAAACAAAAGCTTTTAATCAATTCAGCAATATATTTTAATTTTCAGTGTGTTGACAGGGTTCATTCATTTGAATGTTGGGTGACTTCCCACATGTTACACATCCGATTTATCTCTGGTTGGGAATTTACCTCCAAAGAATGGTCAAGTTCTTCATTGGTGTGTGCAATTCTCTGGAAGGCGGAGCTGTTCATTTGGCCGTGAGGAAAACCCAATTGAATGTCTTTCAAAACAAACAAGAACATTTCGAAAGAACTTGCAGGAGCCAACTAAATAACGCCTATACAGAAAGATGGATGTCAAAGGGAATCAACAGTCATATAAAAACTACAACTGTAATGATTCACAAACTAAACACGGCACGGAAGCAATCAATGCAACAAAAGTTAATCTTTTCAGCAAATCTGTTGGCAATGCCAACTTGACGATCCGGCATTGGTTCTTTGCAGGTGTTCGTAGGCGGTAGTTGGTGAAGGAATAAGGGCAAAGCTCAGTTGATGGGAATGAAAAGCTTACAGGGCCGAAGGTAGTGCCAAATAGTGATACGGCATGAACACAGGACAGATGATAACAAATAAATGAACATGCTGGCAAGGCTCTTGACAGTATTACATAATGACACACATAATATAATCATTATCGTCATTATCATTAACTTTCCTTTTTGACATGCAATCAACAACTTTCTTCTTTACAGTGACGTTGCACATTGATCAACTCAACTATAAAAGTGACCTTTTTTTCACTGGGCCTGGTGTTAAAATACGAGCCAATACATTAAGAAAACAAGCTGAGTAAGGGCGCTAAAACAGGCAGGATGTGGTGGAATAGCAGGGGCGTAATAATCAGGAACAAATATTGCCTTGATATCGGGAACTACACTAAAACACCATTTTCAGTTACAATGAGTCATGAGGAATGTCTGTGAAACTGTGCGGGTGATTACTCATCTCCATCAAGTCATCATGTGTTTTCAGAATCAGAGCTTCAGAAAACACATTTCTCAAATGCCGGTTGAAGATAAAGAAAATACAAATAATTCGCTCGTGTTACTATATAGTTATAAATACTAAATAATAATTTTACTTACCTCCCTCATTACTTTCTGAATCATGTTCAGTGACCACAAGATGCCAAGTCAGGCAGAGAGAGTGAGAGAGAGACAGAAAACTCCAGATCAGTCAGAAACCGAAAGCAAGACATGACAAATATATAAATAGTACAGCAGCATGAAGGTTGATCTAATCTTGATCTTGTTCACTGCTGACCCAAGGTGAGCATATATGTTTTTACGATAGGCTTGAGAGCAAAGGTTTTCTTTCGCATTTCAGTTCTTCTTACTTTCATGGGGTTTATGTATGTATAGATTTTGTCTTGATTTGCTTTAATGCATGTGCAACGTCACCAGATGGTGAGTAAAAGAATTACATAAGAAATAAAGCATTGCTGGAGGATGTGGGGTTGAAATATCGTTGGACCTCCTGTGCCCTTCACCAGGACGCTGTCGACTGCGCTGGAAGGGATACTGTGTAGGTGACCTTTTTTTCAATCTCTGGTCATGTCACTGTTTCAGATGACTGTTTGGCGTCGAGCACTCATCCTCCTTTGCTGCGTACTGGACTGTGTGGAGTGCTCTTCTTCGTCTCTGCTCCTCCAGAGGAACAAATACAACAACTCCTTTCGTCTCACGAGGTCCACCCGAACCCGTGTCCAGCAGCTCCAGCGGAAATACGTGAGTACTGAAAACCTTCTCCCTGCTCTACCGACTGATCCAGCACACTGCCAGAACTAGTGTCCCATATTACAAATATTCAATGGTCTCCATTGTTTACTTCAACAGAATGAGCAGCAGTTGGGAAATAAGCATTTCGAGGACAGAAGTCGGCAGTTGAGGGACCTGCCGTCGCTCTCTACAGATTTCAATGGCTGGCTAAATCTGACGGTTAGTATCCTCTTCAGAACACTGCAATGCAAAACTCAGTCGGGTTGTAAGCAAAAGCGTAAATATAGACAGTGGAAGTAGTAGTGTGGTCGGAGGGCCCGTAGAGAGAGCTTCTCTAAATAAAACAGCGTAACTCATTTGTTGGTCAAACATAGATACTACCAATTGTGCCTGCACACCGGGGCCTGTTGTAACCGCCTCACTAAGCCGGTTGTTGCACTGCGAAGCACATTCGACTGAGGGAAAAAAAAGAGTTTATGTCTACTCTTGCAGAATGTAACATTTGCTTGGAATTACTCGTTTTAAAAGTTTGATTAATTAACCATGCGGCCGTCTCTTTTCGCGCATTCAGGAATTTGAACGACTGCATGCTGCTTTGTTGGACATGCAAGCCTATTGGACGACGCTGGAGTGGAAGAGACAACAGATCGAGAAGGAGGAGAAAGAGCAGAGGGGGAAGCGGGCGTCCGGCACCACTTTACCTCGGAGCATCGGGCACATTCAGCTCGACCTGAGGGACCTGATGAGCCAAGTCAGCAGTCAGGTATCCACAGTCACTGAAATTCAATCTCTTTTGATCCCTTTTTCTTCCCCCCACCCACACAAACCGAATAGAGGAAGTGACACTGAAATCTGATGAGAAATTGTTTTTCTTTCTTCTTCAGATGAGTTACAAGAATAGTTCTTGGACAAAGCCAACCTTTCCTACTACACCCCCCAACCCACAGACCAGATCCAAAACAGTATGGGACAGCAGAGTGGAGGGTTACATCGTTCTGCGGGATCTAGACCTTTACCTCACCAAGCTGGCAAGAGACTTCCTCTTTCTGGCTTCAAAAACTTACTGAAAAGAAGAAAAAAAAAACGGCACCCAACACACACACAGAAGAACGCCTGAACTGACGATCAACAACTAGCTGGAATAGTGGTTGTGATCATTTTCATCATTGTTTTAGTGCAGATGTTCACACACTCTTATTTAGCTATCCGTGTTTTACTGTATATTTAAGGGTTTTCTTGGGTATTTCCCGAAGTTTCTTTCTCACCTCTAACGGTAAGTTAGCAATAAGCTCCCAGAAAGGACTTCCCGACATTACGTGTTTCCCCCTCCATTCTACAGGACTTTCCAAATATTTTTTGTGTATTTATTGACATATTTATTGACATGCTATTTATTATAAATTGTTTCTTTTATGACTCTCACAATGTAGAGATAGTGTTTTACATTATTATATTTTATATTTTATAAAGTGGAAATATATTTATGTATGAATCACAATAAAGAAATAAAGCAAATGATTGAACAGTGACAACTTCATGTTATGATTTTCTATTCTAAGAAAAAAAAAAAAGGTCATTATTGCAACATTAAAATAATTCTTGTAAATACGATGATGCATATGAAAGGGGTCTTCCTTCTGTTGAGTTGGTTCTGTGTGCTTGTGGTATCGTCCCGGCTGCTACAAACTATCACACTGGCAGTCCCTTCAGTTGGCTGCAAGGATTATCATTTGCCTGGTTGCTGTTTTCGGTTTCTTCATATGTTGTTTATCTGAGGGGCAATCTACAGAGAGAAATCAGATTGAATAAAGTCAGGTGGCCAAAATGTTTTGAGTATAAAACATTTCAAAAATCCCCCTGAGAGCTCCACACATGACACACAAACGGCCACTGACTCACCACTAGCAGATGTCCTCGCTTGCCTTTGGCCACCTTTAGCTCCGAACCCCTGACGAAATCGATGATTCCTTCTTTGCCTCGAGCCACAGCGAACGTTATGCTGTAACAAATGACAGACGGGATAGCACGCCAGTTCTGTTGGGTCGCCAAGGACCACCACAGAGAAGCAGTCGGAGAAGGCCTCACCTGCCCGGGTTGATGTTGACGTAGTTCACCTTGCTGGCCATCATGGCTAGTTTTGTCACCAGCTCGATCACATGGTCGCAGTGCAGTACCACATCACCCTGAGGGGGGGGCACAGCTGGATTTAGAGTGGCTGCATGGGCGTGCACTAGTAAACAGCCATCACTGCTGTGCCTTACTATACCTTCTGCTTATTGTCCTCATTGGGCATGTGCAGAACAAACATCCCGTCGCTGAGAGAGCTCACAGAGATGCCTGTTAAAAGAGAAAGCCTGGCTTAGATCCATTAAACTAATGAATAGAGTCACAGTGACTGCATGTCCCCATGTCCTGTTTTATTTTATTATAAAAGTCATTTGTTGTGGTAACTACTGAAGGTAAAAAAATAATCTAATTTTAAAAAAGGTAAAAAGGTAAAAAAAATAATCTAATTTAAAAAAACTGTTTCAACTCAATAACTCCTTAGCAAGAGAAATTAAAATAACCCCCCTCATGGCCTCAAAGACATGGGTCAAATTCCTTAACATAATCAACCCCTAAAGAGCCTTTCACCCCGGAGAGCAGCGTAGTCAATCCTCTGTTTGATCTTGGTCTTGTCCACCAGCACAGCAAAGGTGTTCGTGAGCAGCAGTTGGCGAGGGCGAGGCTTGAAACCCCTCCTGTCATACTTTACGACTGGTACGCCGTACTGAAGGAGCACGAGGAGACACATCACTGTGAGGCAGCATTCATTCATTTGGTTGTATTAGATTGAAAAAGATGATGGTCCATATCACCTGCACTTTGTCACTGCCAAGGGTCTGGACAACTTTGAGATTGATTTGTTCACGTTCTATATAAAGCAATAGGGAACTCTTTGTAAATGCTATTACATATTCTGTGAGGTGTTGATTAGTGCAGAGGCAATTTTTTCATAGATCAATACGTACCCAACCTGGAGTCCAGAAACAGCCTCCCAACACCCTGAGGATAGCTGTCTTTCTGGTCCTTGAAAATCTCACTGGCTGCAACTTTCTGAATCATCTAGAGCAAAGAAAGAAAGAAAAATCAGGGATGGCATTTAAAAAATTGCACTCGCTCAATTGCAAAAATAACAACTGGTGAGGCCATGTTTTTTCTGCAGTAATGTACCTGCTTTCTCCACTCAGGCTGAACCCTCTTGCAATACTTCACGACCATGTTTCTCATGTGCATTCTCCACAGGTTCTCAGAGGCCTGTAGGCCACCATTGAATTGACATGGCAGAATTTGTATTAATAACTCCTACTTACTTTTTATACTTATTTATTTTTTAATCTGTACATAACCAAGCGAGTCGGAACCTCAACGAGGGATGGAGGAGGTGTCGGCCATGTTTTGTCCAAAACGCTCCTGGGCAGGTTTTTACGTAGATTCTTGAGGAAGGAATAGCGCACATGATCCAGGAAGTACTCATTCTCAGGGCAGTAATCCTCATGGCGGTAGATGAAACCTTTTATGAACCTGGAATAAAAATTATCAAAAAGAAAGGAATAAACTAAAAAAATACAAATACAAATAAATACAAAAACAGTAACAGTGACACAGCATCAGTGACGCACTTTCGTATTAACTCGGCGGCCTCCCGGCGCCTCTTGGCCCTCCTGCGTGCTTTCATCCCTCGCCACCCGGACTGGATCGTGATCACTAAAATATATAAAACATAGTAACCCAATAAACCGGATGATTAGTTATGTTTTTTATTAGGTTTTAAGGACAGTGAGACTGTTATGGGAGACATAGGGAACACAAGGGGGGGTCGACCTGCTCGTCTGATTTGTTGGTACTTGGCTCTCTCTCTGTAGCCTCTCCATGACGTCTGCAGGGTCAAAGCTAGAACACACCAAGTAAAAGAGATTTAGGCCTTTTCTCGTTGCGGCGGAGGCTGATTGAAGGTTCAGTGTAGGAGTTGAACCATTTATTAGATTCAGAGTGTGATGACTTTGGTGAGGATATTGTTTGCTGTTTAAGAGGTGTAAACTAAATAATATAAATATCTAACAATACTTTGCAATCTATACAAAAACACCTAAAATGATAACAGTTAAATCATAACCCCACTGACACCGTAAACATAATACAAGTGTACCTCACTACGGTAATATTATTACTAGAAGTCTTCCTTTACATCTCCACTCCGGGAACCCATTTTTACACTCACCTATCTCTGGCTTTTTTGCTTGCAGTGCATCCTCAGTGGTGAAGAGAGTTTTGGGGAAACGGATGAAGATTTTTGACCTGCAGAGGGTGGACAAAGAAATGTGTGATCACTATGAAACTACAATGCCATTCCACAAACACTACAATCCAAATTTGCTGCATGAATGCATGCTTTCAGTGTAGACGATCCCATAATCGGTTGTGCCCACCAAGCGACTCATGGACCCACATGGCACAAAAATTGTCCTCCAACTTTATAGTCTCTCTCCAAAACTACTTTACCTGCCCAGCTTGTACTCCTCTGCTTTGTACCCCAGGTGGTTGACCAGTGTCGAGACACCATCTGCGAGTCTGCCGTGCCAATTGGGCCAAGTCTCAGGACACAGTGGTTTATATCTATAAACATTTTAAAAAAAACACAACAGTAGGTTGATCAGACTGTAAATAGAATGAGCAATCTCTGGGTCTGTAAGCCGTCCAGAAAGAAGGTCAGTCACCTCTGCAGGAAGGCTTCAAAGCGACGGCGATAGGCAAAGCCAGCTCTCCTGACCCTCAGGTTCTCCATCAGGCCCAAGTACTTCACTTGGTGTCTGATCAGGACTTCATCAAACCTCCCTGCAGCAAGGGATCATTTTACAGGTGACAGTAATACGCTTTTGGTAAATCTCACAGACAACAAACTGTACTATATTTTCCCTCTCTTGATCTCATTGTTTCATGATTATATCCAATCTCAAGCACAGCACTGTTCTATAATAGATATTCACATGACAAAAGTGTACCTGGCTGCTTGGCATCATTAGGTTTGAGACAGCGCACATAGGATGGCTCTTTAGACCCGAGGATCTCCATAAGCTTCATCAGGTTGTTTTTAAACTGAGTGGCGGCCTATGGGACATATTTAAAAAACAACATGAAACTACAGGATAATCTCTGTATATTTGTGTATTTCATAGGTTCATTTTAATGTCACTATCTATATACGACAGGAAACAGTTTAATTTAAAACACACCTGAACAGGAAAGAAAGACAGAGAGAAATAGATGCAGAGACAGAGTCAGCGAGCCAGAACGAGAGAGCGAGAGAGCGACAGAGAGTGACAGACAGACAGAGAGAGAAAAAGAGAAGTTCTCACCATCTCTGGGCGTTTCTGGTCCATCACCTCCTCTCTGCGGAAGCAGTAACTTACGATCTGGTTGTGGGACTGGCACATGACCTGAACAGAGGCCAAACAACCCGACGGCATGTCAACACAATGCCACATTGCCCCCCACTTCCCCCCCCACTCCCCACTCTGTGAGATTCTACCCATGTCCGTTTTTATTGTTTTACCTCTTTCAGGTTCCTGTTCAGCAAATCATTGTTCTTGTCTAGGAAACCTGAGTGAGAACATCAATAACACTTGTCATTACGAAATCAAGAGGTATGTGGGTCATTCTCTAAAAAAAAAAAAACTGAACGGACTAGTTGATTATGCCACATATTACAGCGTTACCGTTGACATTGTAGTTGACCTCCCCTGCATAATGCAGCAGCCTGAACTCCTCCCTACCCATTGCCTTGCGAGTCTTCCCATTTGCCAACTTGTGACTGAAAACAATGAACAGGCACAGACAGATTCAACGTACAGAGGCTTGCAGATGTAAAAAGCTGGCGTCAGTCTTTGTACGGTTGGTCGGAATAATATTTGATATCAGACAATGCTTACGTGACAAAATGGGGATGACCGCCCAGTGTGTCCTCCAACTTTTCCAAAAAGGAAGCATCACAGGTCTCTCCGGGTCTCAGGCACTCCTCATCCTGAATAAACAGTCACACTATTTAACTATACAATACAATAAGATATTTCTATATGAGTCTACATCATATCGACGACAAACAAATAAACTTGTTATTGTTCGCACCAGAGTGGAGATGATGCCTTTGTGCTTCTCCTCAATCAGGTCACAAATGATCTTGTTGTCAAAGTATTGCACCGTCTCCCACTGACACCAGAGGCGGAGAGAACAACATTGCGTTAGCGCGGAAGTACAAATACCAATAAGTTCAGCCGACTTTTTTGGTTTTGACAACCCGAGCAGCAACCGACTCACAGCTATTCCCTCGGCCTCGTACTCCTCCTGCTCAGATCTCAGGGTGAGCTCGATGAACAGCTGCTGCAGCTTCTCATTGCAGTAGTTAATGCAGAACTGCTCAAAACTGTTTGGGAGGAGCATAAAGCAACTTAGGCCAAAGCCGTGGTTCAGTGCTGAAGCTGTGTCGTGGGGTTGACCGTTACGTACAACCGTTTGGTTGGCTGAAAATCAGAGGCAGATCAAGATGTGACGGAAAGAATGAAAGTAACTCGTACCTGTTGTGCTGCAGAACCTCAAAGCCGTAGATATCCAGGAGCCCGATAACTGAGCAGCCCTTACCGCTGTGGTAGATTTCCTCCTGCATTACGTAAAGAACACGCAGCATGCAATCATAGGGTGTTGTGCTTGTTTTTTTCAGTTATCAGCCGTGTTACCCCACCTGCAGAGCCACCGACTGATTGATCTTCTCCACCAACCAAGTGAAGGTCCGACCGTACACGGCCTTGGCTAAGGCGTCACGGGCAGACATGGCCTGCTCGAAGTTCAGCGGGGTGATCATCTGTAACGCACGAGCACGACGGCAATTTGTTAAAATCGCAAGACACGCCACCGGAGGAGAGAATATGCGAGGAGCACGGACACAAAGGCCGTCACCTCCTCTCCTTTGGCGGTGAGCTTCTTGTGAGTGAGTGCCTCCCCAAGCGCTGAGACATCAACACCCAGCAGCTGGAAAACAACGACGCATCTGCTGTTAGCTACGCTTGTTTGAAAGTGTTTTAAATATTTAAAACACTTTAAACAACTGGATAAACATCCAGAAACACTGGTGGGAACGTTCTAACCTTTGCAACATTCGTTGCATGTGTCTCAGTGGTGATGCAAGTTTCTCCTTCCTCTCCTTCCCCAAACTGAGTGTTTCCCAGATGGAGAACACCGGCGATGATACTCAGCAATTTCTGACGTCAGACACGGGACAGACAGTTAACAACAACCTCACAGATGTTTTTTACGTGATTTCTAACTAAATCAACGTCAGCCACTGAGAATATGATCGTCCTTAATACAATCTTACAATCAGACATTTTCAGGGATTTTTAATTACACTCTTGATTAAATAGTTACAATTGCTTCAGCCAGCAACTCACGATGAAAACGTGCTGGTTTAAAAAACATTTACAAATGTCTTAAGTCTTAAGGGTTCCAAAAATAAGGGTTTGGTGGAAAATGATGTCATGTAAAAAAGAGATTTTTCAAACTACAGTTGTCCTGAATGTCTTTATGATAATAAGTAATGTCATGGTCAATATAAAAAATATTCACGGTGGATATTAACATTCCTGGGTCATTGCTCATATCGGGTCCGTTTCTATGACTTTACCTTTTAAAGTTTGACATATTAATGAGGATAAGCTATGATTGCTACTGACCTGCACTTCTTCCTCGGCGAAGCCAATAACAGACAGAGCCTTCATCACGACTTTCCAGTTATTCTTGTCACTGACAGAGCTGAGTCTGGGACAGTTGCCCTGAACCAGAAAATGTAATTTTAGGCTTTGTCAGAGCTCGGTAAGAAATATCAGTTAGAAAAGAACAAAAGTCCTTGAACTTTTGCACCACACACACACACACACACACACACACACACACACACACACACACACACACACACACACACACACACACACACACACACACACACACACACACACCTTCACCAGATAGCTGTAGTTCTGAGGGTTCCTTTGCAGGGCCAGTGTGGTGAGCAAGTTGTCGTCCCCTCCATCCAGAAGCTGGTAGAAGATGTGGAAGTTCCTCTCGCCGTGGTTCTGGTGCACGACACGGGACTTCTCCAGCAGGTAGTTTAGGATGTGACCGCCCACTGGCGCCCCCTAGGAGGAGTCATGGAAAACAGCAGGTTTAGCACACCAGTGTTTGAAATGTTTGAGCTTCTGTGATATCACTAATCTAACAGCTGTTTTAAGTGTGGAATAAGCACATGTGATATCTATAAAGACTGTGAAAGGAAAGAGTGGAGGCTTTACCCTAAAGTCAAACTGGACGCCCATGTATTTTCCAAAGCGGCTGGAGTTGTCGTTCCTAAATGTTTTGGCGTTGCCAAACGCCTGCGGAAAGCAAAATTAGAGAGAGGAAGTCAAGTTAAGAGCAAGAGCAAATGAACAAAATCCCCCTACAAACAATAAACATTAGGAAATATTTACAAATATGCGAAGGTCATTCAGATTCCTCAGATCAATCAGATTATACCGTTTACTGTGAAAATCAACGGAGTATAAGCATGCTGTGCTTTGTTCCGATTGTGGCGGTTCGAATGGTTTAAAATACCTCCAGAACCGGGTTGGACTGCAGTAGGCGGTCTCCCAGCGTCGCCATATGCGCATTGATGGGGCAGGTGACTGCGTAGTAGAGGAGGATCTTCTTAGACGCCTCGGTTTTACCCGCTCCACTCTCACCCGATATCATGATACACTGGTCCTTCCTCTCGGTCCGCATGGCTCGGTAAGCGGTGTCTGACAATGCGTAGCTGAGGGGGAAAAAAACAAAAGCAGCGTCAGCTACAGATCAACGTGCGTTTGAAATGTGGTGATGGAAAAGTCACACGAACGTTTCTGTCCAACAAAGGCGACGGAAATGGTGTTTTCTGTTGTTAGTTAAATCTGTGGTTTACATGCATCTTATTATCAGATGTATTTATTTATTTGATGTTTAACTCATAGAAATAAGTAGGTGCACATAATCAACAATTAGTAATAATTTTTTTTTATCCCCCTTAAGACCAACCTACTCATGAAACATGACCCTGCATGCACAAATACAATAGCTTAAATAAACTTGATCATGTATTAAAGAGGAAATGGACAGAAAAAGTCAAAGAAAAAGAAAACAGCAAACAAAGTCACCAACGAAGTAGGGATATAATTCTAGTGACAGTTACATGTTAATTATATCAATGTATGTAGAGCTGAAGCAATTACATTAGTTGAGTAAAATAAAGACCCCCCCCCATAATGAATTGATCATAGAAATATTAGTAAATTGCAGTTATCCAACCATATACAGTACATGTATTGAGCATCACTGAATGTCTCATGCGTGCACGAGGATCAATTCATCAAAATGAGATTCTTGGGAGACGGTGTGATTATTAGCGGTAGGCAGCAACACACACTGGAGCAGTTTGATTAATAAATGTCTTAGGACCATGAAGCGACTCACATGTGAGGCGATATCTCATAAAAGCTGACCCCTCTGTAGCGTTCCATCTGCTGCTTGGAGTAAATCTCCAGCTCTTTGTAGGGGTTCACCGACACCAGCACCGAGCCAATGTACGTCTGAGGCAAAACAAACACATTTCACTACGTTTCCCCACAGCCTGTGAAATGTTTTGGTAGATATAAAGGAAATTGTCTGAGTTACATAGATGAGGCCTTCCCCGAAGCGTCTCCGCAGGTTCTCAATGAAGGCCGCCTCACTGTTGTAGTTTTCCAGCAGGACAAAGTCCTGCACGCCGACCCTGTCCCGGGCCGTCAGGGCACTCTCCATCACCAGGCGCACCCGTCCCTCAACATCCACCTCCTACGGGAGGAGAAGAGCAGGAGTGACATCACGGAGAGGAATTGTAAACTAGGCAGGCCATCAGGGAGAAGAAGATATCCGTTTCTAAATGATAAACTTCCAATAACTATTAATAACTAACAATTACACGCCGTCAACAGGGGGCGCAATGTGTGGTACATTTCACCCAGTTACAAGGAATGTGTTACACCTCGCGCTCAGCGTTACAATGATTACCACATAATCATCTTAAGATATATATGTATAGGAGAGAAATATTTTCAGAAATATCTTCAACATTTTTGTGCAAATATCTCACTGACTACAGCAAAACCCCAAGTGTTTAAAAACAAAACAAAGTAAGAACAGCTCCGGCAGACGTCGTCAGGATGACACAATGAAGACATCTTACCCAAAGGGTGAGCAGACAAGATAGAATATGTTATCGTGGGATAGAGAGATAGTGTATTATGATGTATGCACAGTACACACAGCGCTGTGTCGCCAGGCGAGATTTAACCCGTGTCACAAGGAGGGCGTGTGTACATGTCAACCCAAACATCATAGTGCACACAGAAAATAACTACCAGACAGCGTGAGTGAAATTCTCAGATACGCACTCAGGTCGTATATTACAAACACAACCGCATGCACACTCATACTGCACACAGGGATACAACTGCCAGCAGTCAATACTTACTGATGATAAATATCCAGGCGCACAATTCGGTGTGCAATCAACACACTACACCCCAGACAAACCAGCTGCACTCCATCTTCAGTGTCAGATACTTCTGAGAGGCGCCCCGGCTGTTTTTCTTTAGACACCCATGAAGAAACGTACGAGCAGAAAGTGGAACAAAGGCGATAGACTTCCACAGGACTTCTGTTTTTCTTGAATGCAAGAGCCTCTCAAGGGTCTCATTTGGCTGCTTAATGCCGGTAAAAAGGTCATTATCTCTCGGCACCGGAAGCAGGAAAATCCTTTAAAAAACAACAGAACAACAGTGGCAGACAGCCAAGGAGCGAGAGCAAAGGAAAGTCACAGGACATTTCCACCCCGGCCCCTCCTCTCTGCTCCACCTTGGGAGTGTTGTTCTCCTACTCCTGCAGGTGGGCTTCCCACAGATAGTTGTTAAAGTTCACTGATTTTTCCAAAGGATACAACCAAGGAATGTTAGGGTCAACTTTGGGCCGGGCGTCGAGAGTGGATGCCACTAAATGTTTCTATGTCAAGTGTCAACAGCTGTTCATGCTTTTATTCACGGAGGATTAGTTTTTGCATGTATGGTCATCAGGAAGCCTGCATTCATGACCCCTTTAAAGGCAATAGTAGTAGAACTAATAGTGCAGATCAAAACATCTAGCGTCTTACCGAGCTGTGAAGGATGCCACGAAGGTCCTACAAGTATTGTTAAGATGTCCAGTAGCTGTTCTGCTGCCAGAGCCTGTGCAGTGTCCACATTCCCAGTGTGTGACAATCCACATATTTTATAATCTTTTTTTTTTAATTGGCACAAACAAAGCAAACATTCTTTACCATCTCTCGGCAGTCACAAGTTCTATTTCTTTTGTATTTAATAAATTTTAAGGATGAAAAGCCCCACAGAAAGCAGTTCTGCCTCTTCGGCTTGGTGGAAGAAAATCTCTAAAGGTGTGAAAATTGTCATGGACATGCTGTGGCTGAGATACACCCTCAGAACCACAGGTCTGTGATGGAGACAAACCCAGTACAACCTGTGGCCCCTGCAGCTTTGAGGTCAGTGAACCCGACCCGAACCTGACCCGAGGCCTGGTTGCTACAGCTGTGAGGCTTGGCCTGGGAGGGGCGCTCGGATTCATGGATTTGCTTACCTACGGAGGGGGGGGGGGGTTTAATAACCAGCGAGCTTCAGTGAAATCTGGAGGTTTGAAGGTGCAGCAGCAGCAGTGACCAAACAGTGGGACTTGGCTCCAGGCCCCATGACTAAGCTCTGCTGGGCCGACTGCATTGGGATTGTCTTCCTTATAAGGAATGGCCCACCGCCATCGCAGGGCGAGCTGCTCTGGGACCGCAGCTGGCTCTCTACCACTCAGGTGCCAGTACTGGAGGAAAATACCGAGTTTATTCTTTCGGGGCTGCATGGGTGGAAGCCTATACAAAACCAACAAATACAGACTGACTCATGCATGGGCAAAAAAGAAAAACAACTTCTAAGTCACTCATTGTTCTGTTTTGCCCCACCCCTCCCTTCCATAACTGAGACAGTCAATTGGTGGAATCGGATCTTTACTGTGTAAACCGAGATAATGCGCACACACACACCCACAACCACACGCGCATGAAAACATAACAAAGAGCATCACGGGGGTCAGGATCTTACCCTGCCTTGGTACCTCATCCTGTCCTCGCTGGAAGACGACTGTATTGGTGCCCCTCCCCAGGCTGGCGCTCCTCCTCTCGTGTCAGATGGACTCCTTAACTTCTCATCCACCTTTCGCCCATGGGTGACACAAATATCTTCTCCCCCCCCCCCTTCTCACCTTCTCCGCCAACGTCCGTTACTTTCTCACTTTCTCTCCACTTTCCACTCTCTTCCTGCACGTCCCGTGTCCTCCTCGTCCGACTTCCCCGTGAAGACAGAGCATACGCACTCGGGCCAAAACACGGACAGCCCCTCTTGTTTATACCTTCAATTCATCTCCCCCCTTTGACAAGCAAAGTTAATGTCCGCCTCTCTGAGAGTCCCTCTCCTTCCCTCGAAACCACGGGGCATGAAACAAGGGCAGGAACTACGCTCACACGTCACTAAACGGGGCAAAAAGAAAAGAAAAGCGGTGAAGGGAAAGTGGGCTGTCGGGAAGAGCCAGACGGCCTGGAGGGTTTGGAAAAATTTGCTAAGAGCCCCAAACTACAAACATGTAATCACTGTGCAGATGTATAAAAGAGAAGGAGAGAAAAAAAAAACAGAAATCACATGATGAGATCTCAGTACATTCTTTCTCTCCTTCCCTCCCTGTTTAGTCCGCTCCCTCCCTTTTCTCCCGCAAGCTGAGACAGATTCGCATGAGATGTGAGTTATGAGAGTGTTTCAACAGCAGGACGGCCCTTCTCCTCGCGGTCGACCAAATGACTTCCCCACCATCATCGTAGCCTGAGTCATATTCCCCGTCTGTTTGGTCTCCCGGGCAACGCTCCCAATGCAACCAGTCAACATCTCAGTAAGTCTGCATTGATTGCTGACGGCGTATCCGACGAGTGATGTGGCATCGACCGGTGAGAGAACAGCGCCCCAACACCCCCCTCCACCCGCCATGGGTTAGCCCCTCACCCCATTTTCCCTGGCTCTGTCTCCACGCCTCACTCTCTTTCCTTTGCCAGCATCCTCAGACAGCCAACGCTGAGGAATCTGAATAATGTTGCCCAGATGGAGGGAGCCTCTTGTTCTTTTTCTCAGTCCCCGGCTGTCTCAATAGTTCTTAGAGCAAGGAAGAAATGTCTCAAAGGACGTTCCAAGGGGACGTTTAGTACTTGTGCTGCTCTGTATGTGGTTCGCTGGTTGTATGAGTTGATTTGGTGGCGAGTAAGTTTCCCCACTAGGGTTAATAAAGCTTTCTAACTAACTTACGGGGCTCATTGACACTGATGAAAGATTGTGTGCCAATTGGTGTCTCTCAAAACCTAATTTTGTTGCTTTTCTTCTTTACTACATATGGTGAGTAGTTGGTCTATTCCAGTTAAGTCAAGTTAAGTCTATGTATATATCGCGTTTCTCTCAAAACTCACTAACTTGCCATGGGGGGGATTTCATCCAGCGTTTCCTCACTGGAACTTTTCCAGTGAAATGTTCCCTGAAAGCTTGTCTTGGTCGCAGTGTTGCCTCCATGTCCACTTCATTACTCGGTTACCTCATCACATTCCATCCACAATGTGCTCTGTTCACCTCAAATAATCAGGTCAGTTTTGTGTGGCGTGCAAAAATCAAAAGGAAAATTTGTACAATGAGATGACAGTCGCTCATTTAGTGGGAACAGGCGCTTCACTGCAGCAGAATGGAAGGTATTGTTGGGTTCCCCTATCAGAGCCAAACAGTCACCTCAGTCCAGGATGTTTGGTTTGAAAAAACTATGAAAATGAGTTAATTATTTTGCTGAGCTGTTGGGCCTGTTGTTGGGACCCATGTTTTATGAAACACGGGCCCAGTATGTTGAATGAGAGACCACGGGTCCAGGACACGCTACCCGCTCTCCTGTGAGCTCCACTTTCAGGCAGAGCAGCAGGCCTAAGTGTGACTCAACGAGGTGTCGAATGTCACACATGCCTCAACTTTGGTCCGGAGCCTCTCTTGGAACTATTTCCATTGGTAAGACTTCCCCAGCAGCTATTGCTCCCGGGCTCTCATGAACAAGCAGCTTCTACACCACTGCAGGGATCACGCGAGGCGTAATTTATTAGGAACAATAAATTTCCCAAAAAGTAACTATGAGTGAATAAATAACAAAATATAGTTTGCTTATGTGCAACATATCTATTTTGCTGATCGGTGTTCCAGAGGACACTTTGGGTTGTTTGGGTTCTCCTTGGGTCATCGGAGAAGTCAACTTGAAAATGAAAACCACGCGCCGACGTCTAAGGCTGAATATACCACGGACAGATTGCTGGCAGCATTTTAAACGTACGTTTGAAGGGAATCCAAGACGTAGCGCATGTAACCACATGAGGGTACTTCCCCTAACACATCTGGTTAGTCTACTCTCCACACATCTGTCACAACCTCACTGCCAATGATATCAAAAAGACACTGAAGTCAACCTAGAAATAAACTACCGCAGCGTGCATCTTCCCCACCTGAGCTTGTGATGTACCCTTCGGCATTATTTCCTGCTGAGCTTTTTTTTCGACTAAGTGTTCCTATCTTTGTTTAGCAGTTCCTGTAAGAAAGATTTCCTTCCTAGCTGCTTCCTGGTGTGCACAGTCTTCCTTCCTGGCAGTTCGTTTGAGCTCAGTTCTGAAATGCCTATCTAGGTTTTTGTTGCATCTCTCGCTTTGCAAACCTATCTGCTTGATATGGTTTCCCATATCAAGCAGATAGTGAGGACTATGTCGAGAACGCAAGGATTCCAAGATATTATGCACCATGAACTGGAATCTAACGGTTCACATAACGTGATTGGGTGGAAGGGCAGAATAGTGGAGGCAGTATGCGTTCCAGCCAGAAGGTTTCCACCCACTCCATCGGGGGATGAGGTCCAGTTGTGTCTCCTGGCACAACTGGACCTCATCAAGGAGCGCGCACAAAAGGAAAGGGACGACGCCAGAGGAGAGGCATGTTGGGAGAGAAGCAGTGGCGGTGGGCGATTCGATCGCCAGGGTGGAGAAGCAAGTCGGACAGCGGCCCAATTTCTAGCACCCAAAAACTAATTAAAACTAATTCTGAACATCTGACATAATATGGAACAAATCCAAACAATCCTCCCAAAACTCTGCTCTCTTCTCGTAGAGGGTGAGGCTTCATGTTTGCACATTGTTTGAGATTTTAAGATGTAGGAATCGCTTTACCTAATTTTGTATTTAAATTGCTACGTTTTTCTCTTCTTTCCTTCCACCCTTTGACCGGTTATGTCGCATAATGTATGCATCACTGTAGCGCTGTTACAGAGTCAGCTACAACGTGGCAGATAAATGTGTGAACGCCGTGCGGGTTTCCTATAGGTTTCCTCGCTGTTTTTAATATCCTTGGTTGAGATGTTTTTTTTTTTTTTTTTTACCACCGTCATCATCATCCATCTGCGCCGAGCTCCCTCAACACGCATCTGCTTTGCTGTTCACCCCGTTCTCACCTCCACTGCCTCTCATCCCACAGATACTTGTTACACCACAAGGGCTACTAAAAGGATTAAGGTGTAAAACAAATCGCAACGAATCTACAAGCTGTGGAAACACAGTAATAAGTGTTGTAGGAATTTAAAATCAGATAACAAGTATGTATTGGGTATTGGTAATATGAAGGGACTTTATAATAATAAGCAAAGTCAGCATGGGTGTTATTAGAAGGTATCAGGTCAATAGTGCAACTCACTTTAGCATGATCCCTGGGACAATGAAAAGCACATGCTCATCACTAGATCACGTCCTCTTGATGATATGAATTATAAGATGGTTTAGGGCTCTGCCTAGTGGTCGCCATATCAATTACACAAAACCGGCTGCCATGCCTCTGTTTGTGTGCAAGAGTCATTACATTTGTTTCCCAGAAGATGAATCCAAATGAGCTTAAAAATGACTAAAAATGTATGGCCCCACAAACAGATGGAAATCCCCACGGTATATTCTCCTCTTTTAACAGCAATGACAGAGTCATAATTTGCATCCAGGATTTTCCTTTCTTGCATTAGTATTCATACACTGTGGCAATTCTAGTTTTCCTCAGGCAAAACATCTCAATATGTATTCAACCCTCACCAAACTTTTAAATAATATAACACAACTGCAGAACAAGTATGACTGGACACATTGTTCATGCATCTTGAACATCACAAAACTATAGATGCACAAACAAAGAACTAGTGCAGACGCATTTCTGTTATAAACACAATGCAATACGCCTACCTGGTATTCAGAGGGCATGAAGAGCCTGACTGAAGCTGAACAGTGAAAACTTTCTCCGTCTCCAGGGCCACTCTTGTGTCCCGAACCGCAGGATCAGACACGGATGCAATTACGAGACAGAAAACGTACTTACAGTTAAAATGCCAACGCCTGAACCCCTCGGTGCGACAGTGAATCGCAGGGAGTCGTTGGCACATCAATCCGCTGGGGGGCGGCAGGTCTCCAGATGGGATGCGCTGCATGCTGACGTCACGCAGATTCTATCGAGGAGCTCAGTGGCCTTCATACGTGTCTATGCTCAGTGGTCCCATGGAGGGACCTTGTAAAGGTCAGCGCATGGGAAGGCGCTGTTAAGACGACACATGGGTTCATTCATCCATTCTGGCTGTCGCGAAGTGGGAGCGTTATCGGAGTGATATTCCCTCGCTTTGCTTTTTACCTCTGGAAACACAAGGGTCTCTCAAGGACCCAAACCATGCTGTGATGTTATTTCCCTCCAACTTTGTGGGTTTAATTAAAAGGGAGTGTACATTAGACTTCGGCAGTGTATGTTCGTTTTGTATTAAATCAACATCTAAACTTGGGTATTAAAAAATAAATGGAATTTATATGAAACTAGACTAAAATAGGCCTAGTTGGTTAACGGTAATAGTTGTTGTACACATGTCGTGCTAACTTGTGTTTTCCCAATGCAGGAGTTACAGCGTAATGTTACCATTTTGTGGTCTAATTAAGTGTTGCCCATTAATTAACGACCAATTAAGCTAAGCTAGTAATGTCGGCCAACTGCTAACGTTAGCTATTAAGCGACAGTAGTTGCACTGCTGCTATCAGTTGCTAGCTGCTTGATGGTGACTATTGCTAGCTAACATTAAACATCTCTCAGTGTTGCTGTTAAAGCCGCGTAGCCACGTCACGTTATTATTATCAGAGCAACGTTTAAATGTATTTGGCGTTATTCAAAATATGGAATAGACGCAACGTTAGCTCGGTTTACTTTAACGTAACTCCACTCCTAGTATTCAAATAAACTGCCCCACTGACGTCAGCCTGTATCTTACGTCGACGTCACTGCAAAATAGCCAGTGACGTAAAACTCGGTCCGACTCTACACAAAACAGGTCTTTAAGTTACTTTCTCCGGTTGAACGTGTCAGTAACAAACGGGGCGGCGGAAGTTATTAAGAGTGCGGCGGCGGCGGCTCGTCGTCGTGGACCGAGAGAAGCGGATTGCCGTGAAGTAACGAGGCGCCGCGCGGCCGCTTCGACGTTACAGGCAGCGGAGCGCCGACCTGCTGCAGTTGTGCGAGGGCGCCGCTGGGTGAGTCGCTCTCTCTGCCCCGCTTCTGTCTCCGCGGCTCCCTTTTTTTCCCAAAGAAAAGAAGAGGAGAACCAGGTCCGGCGGAGGAGGGCCGCCGCCATTACACCGGGAGAGCTTTGCAGAAACGCCACTTTCACACACGCGATCTTCTCGCGGATTGATCGGGACGCGCCGAGTCTTCTGATGCAGTAGAGACGCATTTCAAGAAGACACGCCGCGGCGATCGCACGGAAGCAGCGTTGTCTCGTGTGCGCAACCCGGCCCAGCGTTATGTGAGCACAACAATGGACAGAATAATTATAGAAAAAAGCAGCGTGCCGAAGCGAGAAGAAGACGACTGAGCAGAATTCTTTTTTTGTGCACCTTAAAATCCCCCCGGCAGAAAATCCTTTTGCAAGAACCGACATTTGATTCTGTCATTTGTGAAATGTATTTTCTCCCCCCTCCCTCCCCCAGTGTTTAATTGCAACAAAAACTCTGACGCTAAACGAGCGAATCCAGGCACAACCTCCCTCCCCTCTCCCCTCTTGGCATACGTTGTGTCATCCTCCGTATTTATCCCGTGAATCATCGAGACGACCGGCGCCACATCGTGCGGCTCCGCTTCTTGTGCACATCAGGCGGCGCGAGGGCTGCGGCAAGCGGCGGCCTGACAGATGCGAGAGGAGAGAGCGGAGAAACGCGACGGTATGTATGCTCCGTGCCCCGTGCTCTTATGCGCTACCCCCCAACCACACCACCCTCCTTATGGTGTCTCGCCGTGGAGCGCTACGCCCCGGACACTTGGGTGGATGCGTCGTCGTTGAACGTGTTCGCCGTGCAGAAGGCAGGCTGGCTCAGATTCGGGCTTTGCGATTTCATTATGCAGACTGCGGGCCGCCTGGCGTGGTTCGGCCCCTCGCTCTCTCTCTCCGTGCACCCTAAAGCCCGCTTTAAACTCTTAATCCTCTGCCCAGCACACATGCTGTACCGTTATTACACCGCAACTAAGCAGGGTTATGTAAACCCAGATTGCTTGAAAGTGCGCTTTAGTTGCAACTGCGACGTGACTCCGACGGAGAGGAGGAGCGGTGCTGCTGCTGCTGCTTTTTATCCCAACTTGTCTGTTCGGCTTTAGGGTGTCAGGCCCAGCTCTGCTGAGCCCGTGGATGCTGCTGACCCTGCCGGCGGCGTGGTCCCTTCATGTGACGGGATGTGCACTTCGATGCAAAGCCTGTAATTCCAGTTGTCATGATGGTCTGACTCCAGGGAATCCGTTACACATAAAGGAAATCGTACAATTGGTCCCCTTTGTAGAAAGGAGGAGCCGGCTTTAAGGGGATGTCTGAATTGCGACAGTGCTTTTATAATGGAAGGTGTCAATCAATGCTATAATGATTATAGCAGGCCCGTTGAGAGTCCTAAGGATCGAGAAAGGTCAGCGTTGTTCTGCATTTGTATCCGGCTCTTTGTTAATACGTTCTTATTGTACACAGTTTTGTCTGCAGAGATTAGGCTGATGGCTACAGTTTCGTTTAAGTTAAAGGACTGAGGTGGTTACACCAGAGTCACTCTCATGCTTGTCCACCAACTCACTGATGTCAGCTGACATTGCCATTTAAACCGCACCACTCCCAACGGGTTTTGTCCTCGGATCAATGTATTGATTTTGACCCTGGTTTGATATTGAGATGAGTGAACTGTGGCTTTGATTCATCAATTAGTTATGATCGAAGTAAGCTCGTTTGGAAACAATTTTTATTACGCTTATGATAATTATATTCAAAAAGTAATATTTGAGCAAAAATGTGAACAACTGGTCTGGCTTTTCACATGTGAATATCTCTGGTTTTCTCAAATATTCTACGATGGTAATCACAATCCTTTTGGACGGTTTGGTGGTTGGATATAATCCACTAAACTACAGAATTTGTTAGTTATAACTGAGTGTACAGTGATAAAATGTATGCAGTGGCTTCACATATATCACAGGTAATTTTGGTCATTAATTGAAACTTGATGGACGTAATTGGAGCCCAGTAAACCGTTGAATTCAGAAAAAACGAGCCAATATTACTTAGTCTTTATCATTATACCACGTTCACCATCAACATGGTCAATTCCTTCATTATCATTTGGTATAAAATTAAAATCGGCACAAGCTGGAATGAGATGTGCCTCTGTAAGTCCTTTGTCATTGTCATGTTGAGTTATTATTAGAGATCACTTAATTATTTAGAAGGAAAGGGGGGAAAAAAGTATTTTGCAAGTTGACAGACATTTGCAACGTCAATCTGGAACATTTCATCACATAAAGCATTCTGTTTTAACAATGTGTTTTATTTTATGTGAATTGCCTGATATGTCATACGGTTAAGAGGACACATTGTTTCATTCTGTTGCTCAGTTTGTCTGATTTCTTTTTTGTTATTTTGTTTTTTTGACAGGATCTAATTCCTATAAGGACGGAATGAAAGCAGCCTCGGCTCATATCACCGCACTTATTAAAACGAAAGCCCAGCAGAAGAAAGTGAAATCTGATCTCCTCCTGTGGATCAGTGACTTTATGGACAAACATTCAAGTGAATTCCTTTCATACAGTGCCCGTTTACGGCAGGATGAACATTAGCAGGCCATGATGGCAAAAAAACAAGATGTCCGATCGCCCATTTACAACCTCATTGTAGTGGGTCTGTCGGGAACAGAGAAAGAGAAAGGCCAATGTGGGGTCGGCAAGTCCTGCTTCTGTAATCGGTACGTGCGACCTAGTGCGGATGATTTCTACCTGGATCACACGTCAGTCTTGAGCACCAGTGACTTTGGCGGTAGAGTGGTTAATAATGACCACTTTCTGTTCTGGGGGGAGGTGTCCCGGCTTCTGGAGGAGGGGCCTGAGTGCAGGATGCATGTTGTGGAGCAAACTGAGTTCATTGATGACCAGACATTTCAGCCACACCGTAGCACCGCTATGCAGCCCTATATCAAACGGGCCGCAGCAACCAAGCTGGCTTCAGCGGAGAAGCTCATGTACTTCTGTACCGATCAGCTGGGCTTGGAGCAAGACTTTGAGCAGAAACAAATGCCCGAGGGCAAGCTGCAGGTCGATGGATTCCTGCTTTGTGTCGATGTCAGCCGGGGCATGAACCGCAACTTTGATGACCAGCTGAAATTTGTCACAAACCTGTATGGTCAGCTTAGCAAGACCAAGAAGCCCATTGTGCTGGTCCTCACCAAATGCGATGAAGGAGTTGAACGCTACATCAAAGATGCACATACCTTCGCCATCACAAAAAAGAGTCTGCCAGTAGTGGAGACGTCTGCGCGCTCAAATATAAATGTGGACCTTGCCTTCCTCACTTTGGTTCAACTCATTGATAAGAGCAGGGGCAAGCCCAAGATCATTCTTTACTTTGAGGCCTTGAAGCTCCAGAGTCAGCAGATCGCTTCTGCCAAGGATCGCTACGAATGGCTAATCAACCGCATAGTAAAGAATCATAATGAAACCTGGTTAAACACCAGTCGACGCATGAACACCTCCCCAGAGTACAAAGAATATGTCTTCTTGGAGGGAACGGCTAAATGCAAGAAGCTTTTTCAACAGCATGTCTACCGTCTGAAGCAGGAGCACATTGAGAGACGCCGCAGAACATACTTAATTACTCTGCCTTTAGCGCTTAGCTCCTTGGTGCCTGACCTGGATGAGATAGATCAGCTAAGCTGGTCTGGGGTACAGAAGGTCCTCGAGTCCAAGCAACACTTTGCCCACTGGTTTGTTGTTCTGGAGGATTCACCATGGGAGGATACATCTCACATTGATAACATGGAAGATGAGCGAATCCCCTCAGACCTGCTGGAGACTGCCGAAGCGGAGGACATATTTAATGCCCACCTGGAACACCTGCGTAATGAGTGCAGACGGGCGGAGATGAGGCTGGAGTTCAAACACAAGTTATCCTGCTCTCCCTTTGTAACACCCGGTAGGCCCTGGGAGGAGGCCCGCAGCTTCATCATGAACGAAGAGTTCTACCAGTGGCTTGAAGAGCCAGAGTACTTGGACCTGTACAACCGCCATCAGAAGGAGATCATCGACCGCGCTAAAGAAGACTTCCAGGAGCTCTTACTGGAGTACTCAGAGCTTTTTTATGAGCTTGAGGTGGATGCCAAGCCAAGCAAGGAGAAGATGGGGGCTATTCAAGAGGTTTTGGGGGAGGAACAGCGGTTCAAGGCGCTACAAAAGCTTCCAGCCGAAAGAGATGCTCTGGTATTGAAGCATATCCACTTTGTCTATCACCCGACCAAGGAGACCTGCCCGAACAGTCCAAACTGTGGGGACTCTAAGATTGAACAAATGCTAGTTTCACGTTTCCCCACGTGTTACCCCTTTTTTGACGTGAAGGCTCATTTTGGGGACACCAAGGCTGATAGAATTAACCTTGTCATTCTAGGTAAGGATGGACTGGCCAGAGAATTTTCAAATGAGATCAGGGCCCTGTGCACGAATGACGACTGGTATGTACTGGACGGGAAGATGTACGAGTTGACGCTGCGGCCCATTGAGGGAAATGTGCGTCTTCCGATCAATTCCTTCCACACCCCTACTTTTACCCCCCACGGATGTCTGTGTCTGTATAACTCAAAAGAGTCCCTCTCCTATGTGATAGAAAGCCTTGAGCGACTACGGGAATCAACTCTTTGCCGAAGGGACAGCCTGCTGGCGCAGCTGCCAACATCCCTGCTTTTAGTCACTAAACGAGGCGTAGGATCGTATGTGGATATAGGTGGAGAAACGGCCTTAAACCTAATTACACAGGGTCAGCAGGTTGCAAGGAGGCTACAGTGTAGCTTTTTAGACCCGGCCTCCCCTGGAGTGGGCTACGGCCATAATGTCAATGAGACTCAAATCAACCAGGTGCTGAGGAGCCTTCTAGATATCAGGAGGAGTGTGTCCTTCAGTAGCAACTCCCCTCCCCTCCTCCCTGAGCCTCCAGGTCTCCGAGACTCCCCTCATCAGCCGGCCCCAGAGGCTGACCTTCGCATCGTCATGTGCCTGATGTGTGGGGATAACTACGACGTTGAGCAGCTCCTGTCTCCTTTCTTAATGCATCAGCACTGCAGGCCCATGTCCAATAGCGGCACATCTGTACTACTGGAGCAGACGGTTGGAGGACACAAGATCGCTATAGAGCTCTCTCTGCTCTCATACCACGCGTCTTTCACGCTGCGGAAGAGCAGGTTAGTGCACGGCTACATTGCTGTGTACTCGGTCTCCCGAAAGGCCTCCCTGGAAACCCTGTGTGCATTCTTGTGTGAGGTCCCGGATATCATCCCGCTTCAGCTGTTGGCAGTGGGAGATAGCCAGGCGGAGCTCACTGACAGCGACTATGCCGGTGAACAGCTGATCCAAGGGGAGGAGCTGGCCCATGAGATTGAGGGTCGTTTCAACAGTGTGGTTTGTGGATCCGGGGGCGTGGTGGGAGGCCTGCACAGGATAGAAATGTTCCATGCCTTTCTGATGGAGGTGATTGAGAAACGCAACATTGTGGAGGCCACGCACATGTACGACAATGTCGCAGAAGCGTGCACGGGTGAAAACGTGTACTCCCCCCGCTGCAGTTCTCCCAGTCCTGTCACCATGTTCCTGGATTCGGAGGATGATGTCGAGCCATCGCCACCCTACTACGACGGCACACTCACTTCTCATAGCGGGAGCTTCAACCTGCCCGACTTGGATTCCAGTGACATTTCTGTCATCTCCGATATCAGAGACTTTGAGAACAAGCTCAACAACAAAGTGCCCCCCCAAGCGAGAGTCAAACCGGGTGTCACGTTCGACTTCCGGAAGGTGAGCCGTAACCCGTATATGGACACACTGGGCCACCGTCGCTCCCTGCCCTCGGCTGTTACCTGGGTTCCCGGTGGGGACGTGGGCTACGATCCCTCAGACTACGCCGAACCCATTGACGCAGTTTCAAAACCTCGCCCTAGCAACGAAGAGATCATCTACTCTGTCCCGCACGACAGCACTCAAGGCAAAATCATCACCATCCGCAACTCCAACAGGATGCACTCCAACGGAAATGGCTCGGACAGCGAAGCGGACAGCAGCTCTCTGGAGCGGAGGAGGAAGTTCTCGGCAGCGGGGGTGAAGCCCCGGCTCTACCGCGACCGCTCCAAGAGGCTCGGCAAGTTCAGCAGCTTCCGCACGAGCTTCATAGGCAGCGACGACGAGATGGGAGCACTTCTGAAGTCCAAGGAGGAGGACTTTGGGACTCTGAAAGGCGAAAGCCTTGTTGAGGAGATTGAGGACCCCAAAAAGAGGAACATTCTGAAAAGCCTGCGACGAACAGCCAAGGTGTGTATTATTTCACCGCTTTCAAAATGTATATGTACTTGTTTGTAATACAGAGATTGCTGCTAATCTGTGCATTACTTGTTATGGATTTTTTTAGCTCATTGGTTGCTGGATGGAGAACTTCAGATTTAGTTAAAAATCTACTAAAGCAATAGTATCAACATAATTGTTTTATGTTTCATATTCCTCTTGTCTTTATGTCTTCACAGAAATCAAGACCAAAGCCTCGCCCGGCCATTCCCAAGCCTGTGGAGAGCAGTTACTTTGGGGTCCCCCTAGTGAATGTGGTATCCCCAGACAGACCCATCCCGCTCTTCATCGAAAAGTGTGTCCGCTTCATTGAGACCACAGGTACGTTGTTTTATCCAGTTATACTTTTATAAAATACATGTAACTGGTTAGTCACCTAAAAGAATTGCACCTGTGCAACTGACGGTCCTTGGATGCATCTGTATTGCCGTGTCTGTTTGCACTGGGGCTAATGAAGTGTTTGTGCTTTTGCTCGTTTCCCACTGTGCCCCCCCCCGCCCCCCCCACGTCTCTCCCCCCCCTCTTCCTCTGCTGCGCCTCTTTGTTTCTCAGGCCTGAATACCGAGGGGTTGTACCGCGTTAGTGGCAACAAGTCGGAGATGGAAAGCATGCAGAGGCAGTTTGAACAGGGTGAGCTGATCATCAAACCAGCTGTTTGATGTGTAATTATGTGGCTGCCTAATGAAAACATAAACAGAGCGTTACTGATGGAAAGTGACATGCAAGTTATTGTTCAGTCCCGATGACAGCTATGGGCTTATTGTCTCTGATCCCTATAACTCTCTCTTTCTCCTTGTTTTAGACCACGGATTAGACCTGGTAGAGAAAGACTTCTCCATAAACACTGTGGCTGGAGCCCTCAAAAGCTTCTTCTCTGAACTGCCTGAGCCTCTGGTGCCTTGTGCTCTGCAGGTGGACCTATTGGACGCTTTCAGTAAGCAAACACTGCTGGGCTGGGAGGGTTCTCACAAAAAAAAAGATTATTTTTTTAGTAGGGGAAGAAGGTAGGGAAGGTTTTGGCTGACCTGTTTTGCACCCTCCAGAGTTCCAGAGGATAATTTTCATTGTAGTGTATAAAGCCGTCTTCATTTCGATGGTAACTTCTCTCTCCGTACATGCAGAAATTAATGACCGCGAACAGAGGCTGTGCACCATGAAGGATGTCCTAAGGAGGTTCCCCAGGGAGAATTATGAGGTCTTCAGATACGTAGTGAGCCACTTATACAAGTAAGTTCCCCGTTCACTGTTTAAATCACGTGGTTGCTTCTCAGTGGGAGACACCCATCTGCTTCTTTCGTTTCGGCAGCGCGTGATGAGAGCTAATAATTTGTTGTCTGTTTGTCCGTGTTCTTCTCAGGGTGAGCCAGCTGAACAGGTTGAACTTGATGACCAGCGAAAACTTGTCCATCTGCTTCTGGCCCACCCTCATGAGGCCAGACTTCACTACCATGGATGCCCTGACTGCCACGCGCACCTACCAGACAATCATCGAAAGCTTCATCCACCAGTGTGCATTTTTCTTCTATAACCAGCCCCTCCTGGAGTCCCCCACCGGCCTCGCGGGCCTCCCCGCTTCGCCCACCACCACCCTCAGCGGGAGCTCTGCCTACTCTTGTTACCGCTTCCTCTCCCCCCGCACACCACCGCACCACTTCAGCCCCCTGCCAGCAGTCCCCGCCCACCACCCCCCAGTCTCCCCCTCCAGTCCCTGCTCCTCTCCCCTCCACCAGCACCCCCACTCCCACCATTCCACCGCCGAACAAGAGACACTGTGAGAGGCAGTGAAACCACGTGTGCCCATGATGATGCTGGACTTTATCACCAACACACATACACACACACACAACAAACCTGTGCACACTATGTCTTTGACAACCGAGCTTACGAAAAGAGGAGATAGGAAGTGTATAAGGGACTTCCCTAACCTGCCATCTTTACCCACACGTATGTGCGTCAGCGCAGCGTACCGTTATCTTCCTCTGCCCTCTGAGCCCCTCATCGCCTATAATTTAAGGGTTTCAGGTTTGAGGAGGAGGACAGAGGTCGCTGTCCCGGCAAGCTTCTGTTCCGGCCACCATTTATCCTACACTATCAAGAAATAGAAATCTCTACGCCAAGCTGGAAGAACTGATTTGTGGACACCATATTTTTTATCTGTGTATAAAAGTATTTGTTTTTTTCCCTCATGAAAGTACTGCCACTGGATTTTTAGACTGTTTCTCTATAGGTTCTTTGGGCAGCATTCTGCTCATTTTTTACCTGAGCAGTAAGCATGGGATGGGGATGGGGGGGGTACACATCCAGGGATGCACTTTAATGATCACTGTTGATTTTCCCCTCAAAAGGGTTTTTTATTTTATTTTGTTGACATACTGTTTCATTGCGTGTTCTTCATTTCACAGCGCAAACAGCCATACCCATTGCCTTTACAGAGCTCTGGCAGATCAAACTTTGTTTACATCAAACTTGTTTTTGTATTCAACTTATTTGAAGCACTTTTTGATAGTGTAGTGTAAAATCTGAAGAAATGCCGCATTGATTAATTGGCCATATTGTGTGTCCAGTGGCTGATTGTGGAATCAGTGCAGGCTTGGTGGAAAAGATCCTTTTGTAAAAACTTGTGTTCCGCGTTGATCCGGACGTACCATTCCTGGTTCATGAGTCTGAACCTAAACGTTTTCCTCATTCATCCAGCCGAGTGGAAATGACTTTTCTTTTAGACGTGAGCCTCTTGGTCGATCAGAGAGGATGTTTAGGGACGATTGGTTGAATTAGACCTATATAATATCAGAGAAAACTTTGCCTGCCATCAGTCAAGTGAAGGAGACATTTTTGAATGTGTAACGTAATCACACCATAACACAACTCTGCATTGCCACCTGCTGTCAAATGAAACCCAACGCTTGGTACCTGATAGGGTGCTGGACGAGTGGCAGTGCCTGTCAATCAACCACCAGGCTCCCCGTCTTCATCCAATATTAAGGACCTTTGACTCTGGAAGGTTTAGCATCTTCAGCGCATTGTTACTGCTATTCCCGGTGTACAACACAACGACCAGTAGAGGTAAAATGTTTGTGCGTGTGACACATTCTGGAAGCACCGCTGGCCGTTTACCTGCTCTAGTGAATCAGTTTTGTGCAGGTCCTCGCTTTTCATGTGAAACAATCAGCTGATTTTCAGTGGCAGTGCTGTAGAAGAAGACCTGGTTTTACAAATCACACGACAGGGAGGACTGTTGCGTGTTACGATGGACCGCTGCAGGTTGAAGTCGTGGATGATTTGAAGCTCCGTTCTTTGTTCTCGGTCGATGGACAGACACGTTAGATCTTGGGTCGTCGTATTTGGGATCACACCCTTCTGGTACTTCATTTTATGTGTTTGTCCGATTTAACTGAATGCTTTTTCAAACGGCTCACGGCTGCAGGCTGTAACGTTGAGACCGGCACGAAACCGACCAAGCAACTGTCCCACTATACCACAATTCCCGGGAGTATATAATCTTACCACATCACTTGACTTCTGACACAATTGTGGCAAATCTACCGTTCAATGAGGAAAGAAGTGGGTGCATACTACTCTATAATGGTTGTTTATTTGTATGTTGGGGAACATCACCCGTTAGTCAATGGTAGAAAACCTTTCTAGTGTGTATTTCAATGATTGAAAGTCCATTTTTACAATTTTTGTGAATGGTTCAAGGCCACTTAAGTTTAGTGCATGATTACATTTTTTTTTTTAAACCACACCAGGGGAAAAGGATGAAAGCCTTTCCTTGTTTTAAAACATGAAATTAGTATGTGAACAAAACAAATACTAAAGTGAAATAGCTGAAACATGAAAGTTTATGTAGTGTACACCAAGATCAAACCCTGGAATTTATCTGACTGAGAAGTGTTTGAAGATGAAGGCCTTATGTGAACTGTATAATAGTTAATAAATTAAATTGTAAAATTGTCCTCAGCTTTCTGGTGGTGCCTATATTTGTGTTTTCCATTCACCACAGCGTACAAGCCTCAGGGTTGGAATGAAATTGGAATTTATTTAGTTAAGATTTGATTATCCGCTTCTAATTCATGAAGCCCCACAATACCAGTTGAGCGATCTGATTCAAGAATATCAACCATATCGTTTTGATGGTTAAAACGTTGATGGTTATCTGAATCAGAATCAGGAATCATTTATTGCCATAATATGTCAGACATACAAGATATTTGACTTGCCGGTTGGTGCGTAACAGCAGACAGTGCGACAATGGATGACAAGACAACAGCGCACGAGCAATAAAATAAAAAATAATGCTATGGGTTAGTAGTATAAGGCGGATGTGCAAGAGCTCATCTCTGGTGAAAGAGCTCCAGGAATGGCAACAGGAAACATAATAAACAACAAAAAACGAAGAGCATCGTCGGCGCCATCTTGGATCTTAGCCTGGCTGCTGTCACCTGACAAAATATTAGGCCACTATTATCATTTTCAATTAGGAATAATGGACAGTGGTTTAAAACAACAATGCGTGCTGGCTGCTGCTCCAGCTAAATAATAGCACTCTCAATAAAGCAACATTCTAATGAAGAAGCTTAACTCTAAACAACATACACAAAAGGCTGATAGGCCGCTGAAGTATTCAGGCAGTGGGGCAGGTGACACTGATAAACATCAATTATTCACAGCATATTAGTCATGATTGAATGCACTCTTTTGGTAGAACACAGCATCTGTTGACCTTTGTGGAAGGGGGAGACGTTCTAATGTTATGACGCCATCTTGTGGCTGCACAGCTGCACAGCTGCTGTCACACTGTAGGGCCACGTGTCGCATCTCCCAACTCAGTGTGGGTTTTCATGTGACTATAAGGTGACATGACTCCATCAATTATGTACCTCCCTTTCATATCATAAAGTAATCTCTTGTGCCATTCAGAGGAATGGGAGCTTGGCATTAGTTCAAACATATGAAATATGAACTAGGGGATAGAATAAGTGTTGATGGTCTTTTTTATCTTCTATGTTTACTATAATTATGAATTAAAGAAATTTCCATGCTCTGTTTGTAAACTATGTAGTTGGAGAGAGATGACAGTCGGCAGGCTGCTGAGATGTTTAAGTGTGATGTTTCCTAACAATATGAAACACATTTGACTGAATGACTCATGTCCCATAAATTGCAGTGTAATTGTAGCTTATTCAATTATTTACTTGATATTGTCAAATCAAAAAGAGTTTTTCTAAATTGAATGTGCTATCCTTTGTGAATTCGAATCATAATTTACAATATTGTTCAATTTATTAATTACATTTACAGACCACAATCATGTCTCGTTTTAACATCAACTCGTTTGATAATTCTTTTGATTTTTCTCTGGTTCTGTTAATGTCGACCTGCTACAGGTCACTCCAGTCATACTTCATCCAAGTTAAACACCCTTTGAGGGGATTTCTGTCTCCGTTGTACTTCTCCCGTCTGGTCTCCTCTAGTTTCCGCTGGTCTGGTCTCGTCCTGCCAGCGTGAGAACTGCTTCATTTGTCCAAACATTTTCAGAAGATATGCAAAGAAAACCTGCGGACAATGACAGGGGCCGTGACGTATGAAAGATAGCTTTATTGCACAAGGTGTTAGAATGATCTTTTTAGTTTTTCTTTTCTTTTCATAGAAAATGTACTTTTGAACACAAGCAATTGCTATAACAAGCAACTCAAACAAATGTTTGGGATACCCTCAACATTTCTTTTTTTGTTTTTTTTGTTGTTTTTTAGATTTTCATACATTTTTTCCATCAGTTTTTCCCTTTTAGCAAGCATGCAATGATTTTTTGAGGATGAACAAAATACAAAATAATGATAATAAAAAAGTAAATAGGACAAATGACAACAGCAAAAGACCTTTAAAAAAAGAATAAAAATTCAACAAATTAGTATCAAAAACATGAAGGGAAAGAAAAATGTTTTTTGCCCATTTCAGAAGTAAAATATTTTATTTTTGATACTATTTCAATTTTTGAAATTGGGGCATTCAACCCTGATGTGTCCCCTGATTTATTCTGACGAAAATAGCTCTTCATACAAAACTGTGTTTTTATGTACAAGACTTAATCTATAAACAACACTGTCAAAGGTAGAGATGATGTATCTAGCATGTTCCAGGTGGTGAATTTTCACTTTACTTTATCTGAACGGGGGATAAGGACGGGAGCCATTCAGGTTTACAGGCTGACTCTAGTCCAGTGTATACACAACAGTAGTTTGTGTGACCAAAAGAGCTGCGAGTCCCTGCTTTCACTTGGCTGAACTGGTTTTAGCCACTGTCCACATACCTCACTACCAAATAGTTGACAAAATTGCAAACAAATTGAAAGGAATATCATGAATCAAAATCAATGGACCGACAGGTACTCCCTTCCCTCAACAAACAAACATATAAAGTACATGGATAAATAAATATAAACCACAAAACGCTGTCATGGAGACATTCCAAAAGGTTCCTGTGTGAATGTATATCAGAGCAAAATGGAGGGGTATGAGGATAAACAAAGCAGGGCATATACAGTAATTCAGACAGGGCAACAACAAAGATATCAATCCTGTGAACATTATAGAATTTTCAAAATTGAACTCCCTGACATATAACATCGCTCAACATTATATTATTTTACTTCATTCACATCATGACTGGGATTCCTTCAGCTACTTGTACGTTGTACGTACCTCTGGAAAGCGAAGCTCGGCTGGGTGACACCAAGGCAGGCTGGGAAGTTGGTCGGATGTGTTACTGAAGCCTTCATTCTGTATCGGGACTCATGTCAGCAACCGCTCTCCCAGCAAAAAACCTAATTATCTGTTTAGTTTGTTTACCAACCACTCAGGCATTCGGAAAAGCTCAATTGCGTCAAAGAGCCTGTTTTTGATGAAATAATACGACAGAAGGCTTTCCTACCATGATTGTTTCCGCCGAACACGCGTACACAGCAAAGCAGGCTTTTAAACCTGTGAGGGTTTTATTTATTCACCCAGCCAGGAAGTGAAACTAAAACTACGTATATCTGACTTTTCCCATCTCAACATGTCCATTCTCTGTCCACACACAAGCAAAACACTCTTCTGTTAGTCCGTCTACATACAGCAACATACAGAACATCCCATATATATACTAAACTTTCTTTAGTCCAACCGTTTTTCTTTTTTTAAATTTGGGTTGAGCGATTGTCTCATTCTTAAATTTTTGACATTAACATTAAATTGCTGTATATACTACTACACTCTTGTAGTACATACAATTTATACTTTGACATAA